ATATTTCTAATCTGTCCTATTTGCTTAACAAATGACACTACCTCTTATTCACACAGTTGATTCAACCAGATAACACAACACACAAATGAAGTGAACAGTCTCTGGCATCAACCTTCATCTTGAGTTTGCTTATGTTTTAAAATCAGTTTATTGACGTTTTTTGTTAAACCCAACAGCCATTGTTAGATTAAAATACAACAGATTGCAATCATAGAAGTGGCTCCTCTTTAGCCACAGCAGCCATGGTTTTTCTGTGATGTGGAGTAATGTTTCATTATAATCTTATGAACTCTGAGTCTCTGTTACTCTGATGAAGGCCAGGTGCTGTAACACTATCTCAATATTAAAATAAATTATATATTATGCGGTTCAGTGAAGATTGTTGCTTCTGGGCAGCATTATTAGACAAACCTGGAGCCTCAGCCAGGCATATAATCAGTCAGGCCTGTTTCAATAAAGTAGAATTTAACCTCTATCTTCAGCAAGCAAGGTACTCTAAATGGCTCGCAAATGAGAGCTGTATCTGTTTTKGGGAAAGTGTGTTGGTATCACAAAATCCAGTGTCTTGCTAAATGATGGTCATATCCTCATTAGCGTTGGCAACATGTGCATTAGACTATTGCTAGGCGGCATACCAGTTCGTACCGAAAACCGGCTTTTATTTTTGTTATGAATTATCTGAATACCGACATACCAGTTTGAATAGCCTGAATTTGTTCAGAATGTTACATCGTGGCAGTGAACTGTTTCACTGGGAACACTTTTGTCCCACAGCACCGCTATGCTAACACATTCTCACTCCCGACTCGTCACATATTGACACTTTTCCAAGGTTCCCTCTGCGTCTTATTTTGACGTGTTGGGTACACCCGTCGCGTCAGTTTTTGATGCACCAGGCATTTCCTTGTTCCCTCGGCGTCCAAGTTTGACGCGTTGGGACGCAAAATATAGGGGTCTTTGACTTGGGATCCGTGGTTAATGTTAGGGATCAGGGTTAATGGTTAATTTTAGGTAGTGGGGTCAGGGATAGGATGTCTAGGGCGAATATTATGTAATTTTAGGCTTCAGGACACGTAGTTCACGTGAATTTCCTACAATTTATAAAAATGGTTAATTTTAGGTACTAGTGTCAGGGACAGCATGTCTAGAGTGAATAAAGGTAATTTTAGGCTTTGGGACGGTAGTTTTGGTGCATTTTCTACACTTTCTGAAATTATGACAATGGATTCCTCCCCATCTCGTCAAAAACTGATGTGAAGGGGGTACTCCACGCATTAAAATCGGACGCAGAGGGAACCTTGGAAAAGCGTCAATATGCGATGACTTGGGAGTGAGAATGGGTTGGCTATGCACATTAGCAAGCTAATGTTGTTATAGCATCTTCTCAATAACGAGCGGCTGCTGGCAATTTCACTGCTTAAAAAAACTCTTCCATTTTCGCCATCGCTGAATGTAGTATACACCTCTTCAGTGATGTGCACGAATAGGTTTCATGGAGACGTTAACGTACTTCTATTGTGAAAAGTCTGGGGGGCTTCCGGCGGAAGTGGCTTTGTATCAGGGTTGAGTTGACTGATGCACGGAGGCTGAGCCAACCTGTTAAATTTTATTAAATAACATAAAATGATAGACCCGATAATGATCTTTGCTCAACCCTCCTCCTTCACGACCAAAATGTATGTCTACTGTCTACAACCAGGCAAAGAAGAAAAGTCTTGTAGAGGAGGGAAACAGCGATACAGACAGAGGTACAGTAAAAAAAAAAGGTAAAGAAATAGTTTCTGTGTTGTAGAAAGAGAGTAACTTCAGGTTTGCTAATCAATAAGAAACATGTGTACATTTTATTATCAGCTGGGCTATGATGAAAAGAAAAATACCGTCAAATACGGAAATACTGTGATACTATATAATTGTTGAAAATACCGTAATATAAAATTTGGGTCACACCACCCAGCACTACATTAGACTTATTGTAGAAGGAAAATAAATGGTTACATTGCTTATTGAAACAAAGAAAGCACGCTACCATGACTTCAGTTTTTTTTCCTAGATTCAAAGCTGATCTGTGACACAGTCAGCAGAGTGCCACTTCTACAGTCTTCATTCTGATTATTGACCACTGCAGAATCGCTAGGGCTTTAATTAGTGTTAGTGTAACTAATTGGCTTGCATAGAAGTGACATTGATGAGAGGCAAGAAGATGAATTAATGAGGGTAGACATTGACACATTAAATAGTACCGCTAAAAGTAAAAATGAATGTCTGACGTTCCAGTGGAATTGGCATTTATGTGGAGACCGAACAGACAAAAAGAAAAAAGCCTAAAGCCATTCATGGTTGCCTGCATGTGAGTGTGTGGGTGGGTGGGTACCGGCGTGTGTGGGCATCCATTTCTTGTGTGTTTCCTTTAGTGCTTATGCCTTGATGTCTGTGTGCCTCCATGTGTGTCCTCTTCATCAGAGCTTGTGTAACTAGATGTTCATTTAGTTGACAGCAGAAATCTCTCAAGCGCTCGATGTGCTTCGATGTAAAGTATGTTAACCTTTAAAACAAAGCTTGCCCTGGCCCCTCTCATTCCCCTGTAATTGCTTGCACTGGGTAAGCACACTCGCCTGAAAAGGTTATCGTGTTCCTCGTCAGTTGTCTCGATGAATGAGCAAACATAACAGAAAATTAAAATTAGAAATTTGGGAAATCTTTCTCATACTAAACCACACGCATAGTGTTTGCACAGAATGATGCTCTGTTGTTTCAGTTCTGCAAATTATTAAAAAGTGAGCCAACACACAAGAAMGGAAAGGCAGTGGATGAATTAGACTGCTACATTAGTATTCACTGGTGTCTGCTTTCTGCTGCCATGTCTTAGTTTCTATGCGTGTGTATGATAACATAGCAGTGATGAGGTGTGTGTGTGTACTCCAGAAATAATCATGTGYGCACATATTCTGTGTGAATCAGACACGTGATGATGTGAAACTGTTGTAATAAAAGACAATGTGCTTCAAATGTTGTGTGCTTGCAGAAGCTGAGTATGTGCAAATATAATTACATGCAGAATACAAGAAATGTGGTTGTCCAAACTGATTGTTTACCTTAGTTTAATTGCGTATCAGTGCCTTCTGAGTATGACTGTCTTTGTGTGTTTTCTGTGGACAAATCCCTGGTAGACACATTTCATCCATCTTAGTGCATACCATATATGTGTCTTTATTGTTTTTCTCTTCTTTGTTTAAAGGGATCCCTGATTAGTTGTAACATTAGACTTTATTTGATAAACATTTTATCTGTAAAATAAAGACTGTAAAAATGCTGTAGGCTGTTTAGTTTTGTAAATTTTTAAAAATATATTTTAACACAGACAGGGCCATTTTATTTACACTCAAAGCATTCTGGGTAAATGATGACGTGGATAGGTTAGTGAGCTATATCCACCCTGAAGGTTAATCTTGGACAATATCTGATGATCGACTCTTTTAAATGAAACCGTAAATGAGCGTTGACAGAGAGGAGAAGGTAGAAATGACTCAGCCTGGAACTGAAAATATGGATGGAGGACAACAGAGCTGCTTCATGGAAGAAGAACCTCAGCTTAGCCTGTTAGCCATTGCGCTAGTGCTGATGCTATATTGCCTTATATGTATTGGCTCRGTGCTAGCGTGACAAACAAGCTAAACTGAGGTCCTCCATCCATATTTTCAGTTGCAGGCTGAGTCATTTTTGYGTTCYCCTCTCTGTCATGTGGAYGGAGGACCTCAGTGGTGAGAGGAGAATGTGTAGCGCTGAGCTAATACATATATATGGTGATAGCATCGGGGCTAACGCTCTCTGGTTTCATTTAAAAGAGCCAATCGTCAGATATTGTCCAAGATTAACCTTCAGGGTGGATATAGCTCGCTAGCAGCCTTGCACAGAGGACCTATCCACATCATCATTTACCCAGAATGCTTTGTGTGTAAATAAAATGGCTCCGTCCGTGTAATATATTCTTAAACTTTTAGTTTAAAAATTATAAAAATAAACAGCCTACAGTATTTTTACAGTCTTTATTTTACAGTTAAAATATATGTTTATCAAATAAAGTCTAATGTTACAACTAATCGGGGATCCGTTTAAAACAATTGTATATAGTTAACATGTTCAAAATAAACCAAACAAATATTCCCGATTGCATCCCATGTTTATGTTTGGTTTTAGAGGATTCAACAGCCCGGGTGATCCCAATAAGACATTATGCAGCATTGATAGACTGAAGGTGAATGACGGGCAATGTCTGTCACTGCCAGGGGCTGGCTCAGGGTTCAGCACCACTGCCTGCTGGACCCTTAAAACTCATTTCGACAGACACATTTCCTCCCTTGCTGCTGATGTACAGTGGGGGGCTGATGACACTCGCTGGCCTATGTGGTTCAGAGCAGTGTTAGCTGGCACCACGTTGAGCAAACCAGCAATTTATACTTCAGCTCCAGGCATTATGCTGAGAAAAAAATGCAAAGTGAAGCTACCGTTTCACCATATCCAGCTAATACGTGCTAATTTATAGTTTCCATCATGAGTATTTTACATTTTTAACTGTTTAACAATATTTTACTGTTCAAGATTTTAAGACGATAAAGGAAATATTCTTTTTTGCCTATTGTGTAACATATGAGAGTATCAGTTGTACATTATTTGAACTGTATTTTTCCTAAATTGCTATTACCCATCTCACCAAAAATTACATCTTTTATACATATATGGGACTCTTTTCCTAAAACTTTGGACTTACTCATTCTATCTGTGACTTGTTGCATTTGGCCAAAATTATTTTAGAAATGCTGTGTCAAAACAAACCACACTTAAAATGATGAAAGTTAAACTCAGGTTTCTTGATAAATCAAATAAAAACTCTTTTGTAATTCAAATAATTGGTGGCTCAGTGCCAGTGGATGTAAGGGACTTTTTGGAGCAATTCCCAGAGTGTTTTCTCAGTTTCTTTTTCTCTCTTTTTTTCCAAATTACAGGGAGCAGACACAGATGACGTGACCCTTGTTTTAACCTGAAGAAGACAAGACAGTGAGCATGACCTTTTACTTGTCTGCWGTGCCAAAGAAGAGCCCGGTTGATGCCTCGATGGCCAAAAAATAGCCGCTTTCTTTTTTTTTCTCACCGGGAGCCCTTTTAACCTTGCTCCAAGCTACACTTTGGGACTCAGATGTTTCCCTGACTCCACCTGGAGGTGTACTCCAACCCATGTGCCAGCCCAGATAACCCTCCAGTTTGTTGGCAACCACATGTTTAAGGTGACTGTATGTGACAGTAGCCGATTGCAACCCCAGTCTTCACCATGCAGTGGAGACGGCGGCACTGCTGTCCCATTAAGATGACCTGGAACATCAAACGTTCGCTCTTTCGAACCCACGTGGCAGGTTTACTCTCCTTGGCTCTACTCTTTACTTTCTTCTTATTTTTCAGCCACCAGGATTGGCTGTCAGGGCGCAGTGGGCCTCGTGACAATCCATTGACCTACACCATCAGAGGTTTCCGCAGTCCGAAGGGAGAGGCACATCAGAACAGCTCTCTGAGGAGCTTGTGGAGGGAGACAGGGTATGTAGCGCCAAAGCCTCTGCTCAACCTCAGCGTTCAACAAGCGGAGGGAGCAGCAGGAGAGCCAGCAGGAGTGGGACGTGAAGCTGGAGAAGGTGCCAGGATGGCTGTAATGGGGCTTTGGGACTCGATGAGCACTAACAACAGTTTACAGAAGGAGATGGATGTAGGAGAGAAGCTTAGTGCTCAGCCGTACAACTACATTCTAAATGAGCCTTTCAAGTGCAAGGAAACCACACCCTTCCTTGTTCTCCTCATTGCTGTGGAACCCGGACAAGCTGATGCACGCAATGCAATTCGCCAGACTTGGGGAAATGAGAGTATAGCAATGGGGTTGGGGTTTGTTCGACTGTTTCTTCTTGGCACGCCCAAGAGGTCTGATACCTTCATTCAAAGTAGCATAGAAGAAGAGAGCCGTGTTTACCATGATATCATCCAACAGGACTATCAGGACACGTACTACAACCTGACCATCAAAACCCTGATGGGCATGAACTGGGTTGCTACCTATTGCCCACATGTCTCTTATGTGATGAAAACAGACAGTGACATGTTCGTCAACACAGAATATCTTATTCAGAAGCTGCTAAAACCTGAAACGCCACCTAAACAGAGGTACTTTACTGGCTACTTAATGAGGGGCTATGCACCAAATCGAAACAAGGACAGCAAGTGGTACATGCCACCAGAGCTTTATCCAAGTGAGCGCTACCCAATTTTCTGCTCAGGCACAGGGTATGTGTTCTCAGGGGACATGGCGGAGTTGATATATCAGGCCTCGCTCAGCATACGCAGGCTCCACCTTGAGGATGTTTACGTGGGGATCTGCCTGGCAAAGCTGCGCATTGACCCAGCTCCCCCTCCCAATGAGTTCCTCTTCAACCATTGGCGTGTCTCTTACTCTAGTTGTAAGTACAGCCACCTGATCACATCTCATCAGTTCCAACCCAATGAACTCATCAAGTACTGGAACCACTTGCAAAGTAACAAGCACAATGCCTGTATCAATATGGCCAAGGAGAAGAATGCCAGGTACAGACATAGAAAGTTTCACGGAGAGAGACCTCCCTGACATAGTGACTAAAACCTGCCTCAGTGAAACGGGGATTGTGTTCACTGAAACTTTGGAAGAGGGATTATTGAACTCAGCACTAAACACTAAATGAGGAAAAGCACATTGTTTTTAGTATTGTATAAAGTTGATTATCCAAAATATTTTTTTAATTTCTAAAAAGTATTGTAAACCTATMAAACTATTTCTAAAATGGTTGGGGTTGGATATGATTGTGTGATGTGGAGCATGCACAAACATTACTGCAGCTCAAGATATAGGTTACTGGTAATTCAGGTCTCAGCTGGTGGGGAGTAATTCATGTTCTCTTCCCCAGGGTAGAACAGTATGTCAGATTCCACAGATATTTAAAAAAAGTGCTGAAACAGACACGAGATGTTCACAGAAAGGGAAAAGTTACACTACCTAATTACAAATGAATGATATAAATCTTTAATGTTGACCAGTTGTTATGCTACCTGGTTTCTTGGTGTTTACTTTACAGATATAAAAAGGGAGACTACTTCAAAGAAGTACGTATATGTCATCAAATGTGGTTTTTTCTTTTTCAATAATCTACATTAACACACTCACAGTCACATCAGAGATGACTCAGATTGTATTTTCTAAAGCTTTACATAAAGTATGACTCAGCACTTGAGTAAATGTGCAATTAATCAATTGACATTAAATGTACTGAATTCAGTTTGTTGTGTGTATTTTGTCTGGGTTTCTGTCAAATCAATTGAAGCAGCTGATTACTGCAAAGAAAATACATTTATTGCTGTAAAGTAATGGCGGGCAATGCTTTACAAGTATTATGGTTTACTGTTATAAATGTTTTCAAGAAAACAATTATTTTCCGGACTGACAAAAAGAGATTTTAGTTTGAGAAATCACTTCAACTATTAATCTGTATAAAAATAAACTTATTTTAGCCACACTGTGGCAATTTCCAACCAAGGAATTTTTTTAAAAAGAAGTCTTACTGGTCAAACTCACTTTTTTATAAACATAATAGAAAACCAATTAAAAAGTTAAAAAAAGTAAAAAAATAAAAACTATTTGTCATTCATTTTAAACAGATGACACCAAACCCGACTGCTAGTCAGCAATTAGTAACAGGCTATTTGACAGGTAATTATTTAGAGTAGGTGTTTAAAGATGTAAAACAACTTTTTTTATCTTGTTGAATTCAACCTCTTTCATGTTGTAGAAAAAGTAGAGCATTTAATTAAAATGAGTGTGTGCTGTACTTCAGATATTAAACAGTTTGCCCCCTGTACGGTTAGCACAAATGAAACTTCTGGCTCAGCTACATACAGTACTACATAATTACCAACTGAAACCCATGAATATACATATGGAAACTACTGTCTTTGCTTTTTGATGGATTACCACTGTAATGAATTATTCAATTAGGCTCCCAAATTTGTTGTATTTTTTAAGCAAACAACTACTGTTAACATTTTGTACRTTATTGAACAGTTGTTTTGATATTACCTCAATTAAGGTTTACATAGATAGACAAAACTACACAACATAATCTGATTTCACAGCATTTCATAAAACTCTTCAAAAATAAATGTTTAGCAGTTTCAACTGGTGACAACCTAGCAGGAGAGGTTCCTCTAGWGCTGATCTTCCAGAAAATCAAAATTTCCATTTTGATGCTTTACTTCCTTTCTTGCGTTAAATTTCAAGTTCACTTTTAAGCTGTAAAGTGCTTTGTGACAAGTACATGATAGGGTTCAGACATTAAAAAGATCAGTCAAATGTAAAACATAAAAAAMATCATCAAAGGTTAAACTTAAAAGAAAACATAAAGCCTGGCTGACATGTTATATTTGCTTTATGATTCTTCTTTGCATGACTGAAGAATAATCTGTGATCAGATTTCATTTACTTGGTCTTKAAACAAATTAAAATGGAAGTCGCAGTTTGCCAAATAGGCAGCAATTCGGAGAAACTAAAGGAGAAACAATGGATGTACAGTTCCTAGTGCTACAGTCAGTTCTATGAAATATCAACACAGAAACTCTTTTTACTTTATAAGCACTGTTTGTGATCCAGTCAGACAGAAAACATGTTCATAGATAACTTCATGGTTAAACATATTTTAAGAGATCACAAGCTCAAAATGCTCAACTGTTAATTGAAGKAGTATTTCCTGCTTGGTTGCATTGTTGCAGAACAATCGTTTGCCTAAACCTRTTTATTACTGATCACTTAGAAGAAGCTGTAAAAAGAATACAATGGTCAATTTAAAAAAAAACAGGTAATGCTGTAACTTTAATTAACATCCAAACAGAAAGAGAAAACATTTCAAAAACTTTCAACTGCAATTCAATGCAATTCAATTCAGTTTATTTACATAGCGCCAAGTCACACCATCCTGAGCAGCACATTGGCGACAGTGGAGAGGAGAAACTCCCGGTTAACAGGAAGAAATCCCCAGCAGAACCAGGCTCAGGACAGGCGGCCATCTATCTCGGATGGGTTTGTGGTGACAGGAAAGAGACACAGACAAAGACAGAAGGACTGGTCCAGGTGTACTTTCTTCTGGAAGAGAGACAAAGAAAACACGTTATTGATTGAAATAATTACAACAAACGTAGAAAGTACGTAAAGACAGCTGCATTGATATTGACTTATATGAAATGATTACATCCTGATACATTTTTCTGACTGAATGATCAACAACATTCAGTTCTCCAGGGGAAATTAATTATTCAGCTGCAAAACCCAAGTTCATAAACTGTAAACATGGGCTCATGGCTTAAAAAGGCTGCCTGTGTTACCTGAAATGGAACTATCTACAGTTGTGTTTGCATGCTGTGGTGATGCGTAGGAAGGAACAAATCTAAACAAACAATCCCTGCATTGCTCCAGGCCACCAAGAAGATGAAGAACACGTATAACTGGGTGAGGGCTTGAAATAGCACACGTCAGAAGAAGGTAATTTAATTAATTAAACTAATGAAGAGCAAGCACATCATGACACACCCGACACTCTCATTTGAATCACTTATACATTTGACTGATTCTGTCAGGGACGCTAAAATGAGTAGATTTTAGACAATGGGATATTTTAGGCTTTTAATCTCTAGGCAGAACCGTTTATGAGAGAGAGCAACCAACAGTAACCACAAGAGTTTTATAAAGCAATTACAACTGCGTTTGATATGTATTCATTGTCACATTTTAGTTATTAAAAACAAGAAACTGTCACTAACAACCATTTGCTGACTTGGTGGTAAAATCTGTGTAAGTTGATGTCATGATGGAATTACTTGCGTTGTGCTTTGTAAAGCTTTTGAAAACCYTGACGAATTTGATCATTTTTGCCAGAACACTCTTATGTTTGGGAAAGTAATGACTAAGTGGGTAAATAAAGGTTTTGGCACTGTGTACACTGGTATCTCACCGGGCTGCATGGAGTTGGCAAACAGCATACAGGTAGTAACCGCCCAAATGTCTCAAGAATGTCTTGCAACCTTCATGGGTTTCTCAATTTCCTTAAGTGAGTTTCAGAGGATAAACCACAGAAATCAATATCTTYCCAAAGTCAACATCATCCCATTATTGGTCAGTTCAATAAATACTCAAATGGTTCCAGGTATTCATCGCCTTCCATTAGTAATGATTAAACTTATGACTCAAAGCTAGAGGTTACTAGGAATAAGGTTGGGTAACATTCATGCATGTCGTTTTCTGTCAGAGCAACAGATTACTAACATCCGGCACTCAGCCCTTCACCAAAYGACGAAGTGAGGGAACTGAAAGAAAGAGGGAAGAACATCAAAGCGTGGAAGAGGAAGGTTAAGTAAAAAAGTAAATATATATATATATATAT